AATTCTGACCCCAACATATATATATATATATATATATATATATATATATATATATATGGAATTGCATTGTTAAAATGAAAATGCATGAAATTAATATTATTAATACAATGCATTAATGCAAAAAAGAAATGAGTCTTTTTAGTAGGCTACTTTAATACTCACTACTAATTCAAATTCGAGACCGTTATAAACCAGACATGACTTAAATTATTTTGCTTCAGTGTTAAAACGTACATTGTAGCTAATTATTGCTTTACATGTAACAATGGTTTGATAATGAATCAAAAAGGAGGAACAGGATTTTTGTTTGTAATTTCATCAGACAAAAATTAAACTAATAAAGACTTAAAAAGACTGCGGGAACAAGTAAGCTATTGAAAATACGTGTAGAGACACTCAAACATAGTTGCGATTTTGAGGTTTTACTGACATCAAGTGGTCAGACTGTATAACAACGCAGACAACTAGGCCTACTTTGACGATAGAGTGGTTTCGTTTATGCTTGGACGTCCACGATTAGACAAGGTGTTACGGGCAAATTAATTTCTGCAAATGAAAGAATGCAAATATATGAAATTCATGCAAGAATATGAAAAATTTTCATTATTTTAATTTAATCAGTATTGCTTTAAAGCTTCTGTAGAATTTGCAATGACGCCTTCATTTCATCGTGTAGACCTACACAGAGGGTGCCGTAGGGCAAACTGCAATCAGAGGCCAATAAAACTAGATTATTTCCGCTGGCTTTGTGCACGTAATCGAGTCTCTGAAAGCGAAGGGTGAGTGAAGAAAAGCAACACCTCTCCAAAGGGGTGTCGAGCCTCTGGACACGGTCTAATTGTGTCTGGGCGTAAAAGCATAAAGCCATAAAGCCATTGAAAATGGAATGCCAATGTCTGTTGCCGTGTCTGCGATTCATTGCCTTGAAGTCAAAGTCCTCCGCTATACCTGTGCCACTTATGCTGGTTATACAGTAGGCCGTACATAATATAAAACATATTCATATTTACATTTTAATGTTTGTATGTTTGAACAGACATCACGTTGAGCAAAAGCACCTCATCATGGGGGTCAAGACTATATCTGCTTTTTTAATTCCACAGATTCACATGGTGCGTTGCTCACTGGCCCCAGCTGTCGAGTCCTATAATATCTCTGTTGTGTTGCGTTCTCTCGCCTCGCAGCGCTTTGCACACCATAAACGGTTATAGCAGTAATTGTCTTTTATGGCAGCATGCAGCTAACAACCTCATCTGCCAGACCGGTCTACGGGTCTGTTCTCCCCGAGTACAAACTCGCCCAGCATAACCTGGCCTCAGAACACATTCCTCAAGAGTCGATGGCAGGTCTGCCATCTCCTGGTATGGGTAAAATAAATTCGCGTTTTTATAAGACTTAAACACATTTCTATTTACATCTAAGGATGTTTACGCTCTCGTTTTTTTTTTTGTGAAATAGCGGCTGCACTATAAAATTCTATCATCATGTTTACATAGCATATTTAAATTAAACCAATGTATCAACCGTTAAAAATATAAAATAGCAACAAAAACAACAATTGTACAGAAATGTAATTAAATATTTCTTTCAATTATGCAAAATACAACTCTATGAAAAGCCTAGAAACTACAAGAAAATTATATATAGCCTATATATATAGCCTACTATATATATAGCCTAATAATACATCATTCTCAACTTAATTGTTATTTAAAAGGTCACGAGGACTACGGAACCTAAATGAGACTTGTTTGAAGATATGAAATGCTTTTATTATTCAATAAATAAAACCACAAATTACATCTGAGAAATGTAAGTAAACAAAACAAAAACTAAGTAAACTAACAACATATGACGGCCAACAGACCATGAGGTATTTGAAAAGTTGCCTACAGTGCTTTTCTACAGCTCAGTATTATTATTTTTTTTATTTTATTTTTTTTTACTTAGCTTATTCCCTGAAGTTCGCAGACTTCACCCAATATCACATCGGCTGATATGGCGTGAAATTTTTGGTCAATTCAAAACAAATAGGTAGGTAGTGGTGACTAGGTAGTTGTAATGTCACAATTGTCAATACAAAACGATTTCTAAGGACACATACAAAAGGACATAATTTCTAAGGGTACATGATCTCATGTAGCCTACTCAAGTGTATTAACTTAAACCTGGGCCCATTTTTTTCTAGTGAAAATTTAGGAAACGCTACAGAACAGAACATAAGAAAACTTAAGTTGCGGCCCGAAATACACACTGATATACTAACTACAATTGAAGAGAAACGGCATAGCCTATATATCAGACATGTTCATTCATTACTGATAAATTTGGTCCAAATGAAATACAGAATTTTAAATACTACTTCAGCAAGTATTTAAACAGGCTACGTCTGAAAAAAGAGATGTGTGCCGTATTTATTAAAATGTAACTACTCATGACAAACAAATAGCATAATCCAATATATCAAAGTATTGGATCCCAGCATGCTTTAAGAAAATGCTTGAATAACACCAGACCCAATGTAAAATCCCACGACATTATCATTTCAGTATAAGGATGGATTATCTCACATCCTCACCTACACGACGTGCTTCATTCTTAGTCGTCCTTCGTTCCATCTTTGTTTAATTTTTTCATCTTCATCCTGCGGTTTTGGAACCAAATTTTTACCTGTCTCTCCGTGAGGTTCAGTAGACGGGCGACCTCGAACCGCCGGTCGCGCGTGAGGTAAGTATTAAATAAAAACTCTTTCTCCAGCTCGAGGATCTGGTGCTTAGTATAAGGGCATCGTTTTTTACGCGTCGAGCTCGCGTGTAGCCAGTTGGACACAGGGTTGTCTGGGGAAAGGTAGGGAAGGGAATGAGGGTTTCGAAATCAAAAGCGAGTAGAGAATGATTTTAACACAAGACCATATATCAAAAAATTCAGACAATGGCATAAATCAGTTACCCAAACATATCTCAGGGCCTCGTAACAATCACGCCTAAACGGAAGTGAATATCATATTTCGCACGATTTTACAGCCTTTAACTAGAATGAGAATAATATTAAAACGCAGGAATTTATCAATAGTGCTTAATATAAATTTAATATAAGTGTACTCCTATATCCCACCATTTGGCCAGCCTTACCTGGATCAGCGCCCGGTTTCTCCTCTACATCGCCTCCCTTGTCAGCAGTCCGGCCAGATACTGTCTCAGTGTTGGTCGAACATCCTCCGTTAGTGAAGACTCCAGAAGGGAGTACGGCATGTGAACTGGCCTCTGTGCCGTTATCATTTGTTCTATTTGTATCAGGTTTGGCATGATAGTGATGGATTGTCGGTACCTCAGAGAGTGGCAGCCCACATGCAAAGTCCAAAAGCCAAGACTGCACATAATCCCCAGCTACTGGAGGTTGCGTATGCGGCTGATATACTGACGGTACACCGCTGGAGTAATGCGTTGGGATGTGGCCCCAACCCGAGCCACCATAAACGGGTTCCTTTGCCGGGAATGTGCAGGGACCGAGCTCTGTATGGTCTGTGGGTAGAACGGAGGGCCTGTGCTGAATGAGTCCTGAACCTGAGGAGAAGCGATTCTCCTCGTTGTCCGGCATAACAAGAGAGTCAACATAATATCCTGTCAGAGCTCCGGATGTCGACATGGCCGGGACGCGCTCTCATTCATACACACACACACACATAAAAACACTAACACACACATACAGTAACACGCTCACAAAATAACAATCTGTGAAAATGGAGAGGCAACTTCCCACTCACAAAGCACCAGTCAGCTAATAAGTTGAGAGCAAACTGCCATTTGATTGGGTAAGGTGCACACGTGACCATTGGAACATTTAAAAAAATATATATCAATGGAATTTCTGTAGGCTTAAAAAAAAAGATTGCTTTGTTTTTAATCTTCTCCCGTAAAAACAACCATCGAGCTACGGTAAGAAATAAATATGGGCATATTTACCAAATTTAAAAACTTTCTCTGAATTTGTTTAGATTCAAGATTTAAAGCACAATCCCAAGGACTGTTGTTTAGAAAATTTAATGTCTCACGTGACGGGACTGCATTCGAGCCTTTCTGCAGATAAACATCATGGACAGGAGTCATTGCCAGAAATGCATGTATTCAAACTGTAAATATACGACAAATTGAGAATAATTAAACACACTATGGTAGGAACGGCCTGTTTCATATACTGCACATAGTATGTGTTCCCTACGTGTTAGCTGTGCAGTTTTAGTTTTGATATTTTAACCATTGAGATAAAATAGTTACAGTACAGTGCACATGACGACCTGGATTCACATGGGAAGCTACCATGGTCAGCTAAATTTTCATTCATGGTTAGCAGCAAGCGGCTACTGCTTGTATATTACAAGTATCAGTAGCATTCCAGTAGAAAAGCAAGAATGTTCTTTATAGATATAAAGTCTTCTTATTGATTTTCCAGAATCTTCTGTATTTGCAAATTTATTTCAGAAAAATTGGTCCAGAAAAATATACAAAATATACGTTGCAGCTAAACAGAAGCCTTAAATGTCTCAAAGTATTAAATCCACACAGAATACGATGAATATGGAAACATACAATTTGTCAATTACCACATGACATTTATCAAATTATATTAATCTGCTCAGTCGAAAAGACAACATCAAAATAGCTATGACATTCAAAGTGGCTTGGTTCAGAATAAAAAGTGCCACTTAAAAATGAAAGAGCTTTTATTAAAACGAATACTATTAGAAATAATAACAACAGAATATAACAAATACTAATATAGTCTAATTATTATTATTGATACTTGTTATTGTTATTATAAATGTTGTTGTTGTACGTTTTATTCAGCAATCATTGGCCATAAATGGATTCCATTTATGTATCGTTTTGATATAAATTATGTTTGCCAAACAAAAAGCATTTAAAAGATGTTATTATGCTTACTATAATATGTAGCCTACCGGCACAAGCAAACAAAATTAACAAAAAAAAGGAAAGAAAGAAAGAAAGGAAAGAAAAGCATAATTCAATAAACGATTCTCAAGTAAAAACGAGTAGATACAATTAAAAACTTTAATCAGGTTTATTTTCAACTGATATAGAAAATAAGAAAGTCTAATGCACATCGGCTCAGTAATTGTGAGTCTCATACAACAATGAAAATGCAATATAATTTGTTTTTAAATCATTAAATAATTGTTAACACTGTTTAATAGTCCATCAGTGATTACCAGAAGGGCATTCAGAAGGATTTTACTATTTTACAGCAGGAAACGACACTACTTCTCAAAAAAGAATAGAGAGAGAAGGAAACAGCATGGCCCTTTGAGGCCGTAAACTGCACCGGGGTGTTTGTTAACACAACCAAATTTTACCATAGGCGTTATTCATGCTTTTTAGGCACAAATAAATTCCCTTTAGCTGTACTGGACAGCCACCATAAAGCCAATCTTTCCTTTTGTGTTCAGTCACTTCTTACGGCGCTAGGCGGAAGCCGGGAACGCAATTTCTCGAGCTCAGTGGCACGCCACCGAGGTCGCTGTTGCTTACAGCAGACAAGACTCGATTGCCGAGTATTGGACGTAACCGAGGCCTTGTCAAGTACTGTCTACACTGAGTTCAACAAATCAGTGTCTACATTCAATCCGAAAATGCAAACATCAAACAGCTTACGGCGATTGTGTTCAAAAGGCATTTTCTGAAATAATAATAGCCTAATGCTTTACATTTTATGGGAATTTAAATTATTTGGGACTGTTTCGATGTCCACTAGGTGAAAAAGTAGATCTTAGTTTACGGACGAATGAAACTGGGGCAATTAAGACAGTTTCATGTTGCAGAGTTTAAATATACAATCCCAACAACATGAAACTACCTAAACCACTCAACAGTCTGCTTTCAACTCTTCAGACAAAACACCTAATGGTATCAAAACAAATCGCCCACATTACCTTTCATCTAATCTTTAATATGCGTTTTCTATCAAACAACATGCATTTTTCGTAACAGCCAAGACCATTCATTTGAGAATAGCATCTTACCTGTGTTAACTTGATTTCAATGGAACGGCGAACCAAAAAAAAAAAAGACTGTTTTCCATCTCCTGAAATCCGAACGTCTTCATTCTTGCCTCCATCCAGTCTCTACTGAGGGTAGTCACTCAGAAAAGTGAGCCTCATAAAGTAGCCAGCAATAAAATGCCACAAAAGCAGACTAAACTCGCCATAATACCACGGTGTCTGTACATGTTGTGGCCCGTCGCTGAAGTGTGCTTAAATACTGTACATTTCCGCAGGAGATAACGGGAAATTTCATTGCAAAACGAAATTTGACTTCAAAAATCTATAACGTAATAGGCTACATAACACTACCCTTTCACAGCATAGCTCAACAAAGGTCATGTAAGCACAAATGCAAAATGTACTACACACTGAAAACCAACATTATATGTTTAAGTTTGGACAAATACAAGCACATTTTTATCCGATGCCAGAACAATAAATCATTTGTTTTTCTGTTTCGTTGCACATAGGTTTTATACTTCGTAGTTCAAGGTAGTTTTAATTTAAAGATCGATCGATAGATAGATAGATAGATAGAAAGATAGATAGATAGATAGATAGATAGATGGTCAGGATCGATAGATAGATAGATAGATAGAAAGATAGATAGATAGATAGATAGATAGATAGATAGGCGCAAACATTACAATGGTTCACAATTTCCTTGTGGAGAATACACTGTTTAGACTATATGGCGATCTGAATTCACAACGTCGCCTGTTGTAGTAGGCCTACATAGCCAGGAAAATTTGTATAAAAATAAAACGCATGTGCGAGCACACAATTTTCATAATTCTTGAATAATGCGTATTAGGATTAGAAATAATAAAGAAAAATGAACAGCCTGCATACCATTAAGATTTAAAAAAATAAAAATACAATCGCAATATAATCAATGTATTCAATTTGTTTGCACAATGTTAACATACTAAACATAGCCTACCTATAGACATACGGCATGGCAAGAACAAAGCGAAATCATATACATTGACACCACATGAAATGAACCACATGATTATTGTTCTTCCAAAAATGAGGAAACAAGTATGTATAAAATTAAAAGGGTAAACAAGTGTGTGTATGTATGTGTATATATATATATATATATATATATATACATACACCCACAGAAAAATAATCATGTGGTTAATTTATATGCATTTATGTACGTATATGTATATATAAAATGTAGAATAAACTCATCATTAAAAAATTCATAACCGTCACAGACTTCAAGGATTATTTCTCTTTGCGCTGGTCATTTTCTCAATTTCCATTCTGGAACTAGGCTATATTTTGACTTGCCTGAATGTCAGATGCACACTGCGGCTGAGTTCTAGGCGGCGCTCCTGAGTCAAGTACATCTTGTAGACTGTAGAGGAACTTCTTCTCCAGCTCTAAGGTTTGTTGTTTGGTGTAAGGACAGCGCTTCTTCCGGAAAGTCCAGTTTGCTGAACACTCCATGTCTCCTATACAAGATAGCACATGTAGGCTATTAGTAAAGATGACAGCAAAATGGGGCTGCATAATAAAATAGTTTTATGGTCTGCATAATTAAATTTGTGTTGTGTCAGGCATTTAGTTTCTAAATAAAACACAATGTAACAATATTTGAGATCACTATTCTGAAAAATGAAAGGAATATATTTAGTTAAGGAATATCGAAATATTGCTGTATCTTTTTTTAACCAAAAGTGACATACAGACTTATTTTTAAGCATATTTTGTTATATATGCCTTTTTTATTCATATATATTGATAGTATTTAACGTCGCACTCTTTCGACACTGTTTAGTATCTAAACTTTTTTTTTTACTGACCTATGCATATTCTATTAGGGCTGCATGTTAAATCGCATGCGATTTATCGTGCAGCCCTATATTCTATTGTATAGCATTTTATGTTTATGTTGTTTAAGAGTATTTTCTGTCAGTAAATGTCTGGATATATAGTACTTACATTCAATAATTTTTTATTTAATTCCAATTTATTTAAAGGGTTAGTTCACCCCAAAATGAAAATTCTGTCATTAATTACTCACTCTCATGTCATTCAAAACCTGTAAGAACTCCGTTCATCTTCGGAACACAAATTAAGATATTTTGGATGGAATCTGAGCGCTCTCTGACCCTCCCATATAGACAACATCCCAACTGAAATGTTCCCAGTCAGAAACGTAGCAAGGACGTCGGTAAAACATTCCATGTGACATCAGTGGCTCAACTTCAATTTTGCGAAGCTACGAGAATACTTTTTATGCTCAAAGAAAACAACAATTACATAATTTATTTAACAATTCTTCTCCCCCGAGTTAAGAAGTAATCAGAGTTGTTTACCTTAGGAGGGGAAAGCGCCCCGCATGAATGTAATCGGCGTAATCACCGTTGTTTACACTTAGGGTAAAGCGTGCTTATGCATTGTGATACTCTCCAAAATGGCAGAAGGCATAACTCGGGGGAGAAGAATTTTGTTTTCTTTGCGCACAAAAAGTATTCTCGTAGATTTGCAAAATTGAAGTTGAGCCACTGATGTCACATGGACTGTTTTACCGATGTCCTTGCTACGTTTCTGTCTGGGAACATTTCAGTTGTTGCTGGCTATGGGAGGGTCAGAGAGCTTTCAGATTCCATCAAAATATCTTAATTTGTGTTTTGACGATGAACGGAGGTCTTAGGGGTTTGGAATGACATGAGGGTGAGTAATTAATGACATAATGTTCATTTTGGGGTGAACTAACCCTTTAAAGGGGTCACATGATGCTGCTAAAAAGAACATTATTTGGTGTATTCGGTCTGAAAAGCAAGGTGCGTTGTGATTGGCCGAATTCCTCAAGCGTGTGACGGAAGTGTTATGTCCCTTACCATATTGTGATGCCTGCCGCAACCACATGTGACGACCCCGGGCTGGACTCGCGCTTCGTCCACGGTGAAAGCTGATCAACAGCGCGAAGTTGAAGTATTTCCTCAGCGACCAGCACGGATCAGCTCGAGGCATGACGAAGCGATATCGTCCTCTTTTGGAAGGCCAAACAAAGTAGTTTCGCTTTCACAAGTAAGCACACAGCGCCTTCACGGACATGGCGGCGGTGGCAGCAACAATACTACAGCGAGAATAAAAGTTATGCCTTCTTTCTTTGCGTGAACATTTGGGCGGTGTTATGCAAATCTTCCCAGATAGTGACGTAGGTATGTGGGGGCGTGTTAGAACGAGCCGTTTTAGGTAAGTGTGGCTGACTCTTAACTTTTATAAAGAATATCTCTTTGGATTTGAGACTTTAGTCTTTGCAACTTTACAGATCTTCTTTATGCACCAAGAGCTTGTAACACTCCAAAGAGAAAGGAAAAATTGAAATCGCATCATATGACCCCTTTATCA